AAAAAAAAAAAAAAAAGAAAGAAAAAGAAAAAAAAAACAAGTTCTCCAATAATTTCGAAGTTGGGGACCATAGAGCACATTAAAAGATAGATATACTTGTGTTCATTGAAGTAGGTATCCTTTATTAGGTGACCAACCCCATATATCAGTGTGCTTCTTCACCAAGGCAATTGGCCACCAGGGTCTGTGTCCTTGGCCCCTCTATGTTTCACCCATTGTTTTGTTTTACACTGACATGTGGGCTCACATGACCTTTGTTGGGTCAAATACTTTGGCCCAATATGTGGTTGGTGGACCGCAAAATGGGGAGATGTATGTAGGGCATGTGTGCCCTAACCTTAGATAACTCTGCAGTATATATAATGTCTTAAACGGGTTTGAATTTTGTTCCCTTCTTGTCAATGTCTTTTAGGTACATGAAAAATGCATAGCAATAAATGCTTTTGGGATCAATGTAGACATGGATTGTCATGCTGCTGAAGATCCATTTTATTGAGCAATCAGTAGGGATGGATTGTCAATCTGTTTGATTTTGTTTCTTCAGGCACCCAACATTATTAGTGATGCTACATACATACACAAATCTAATAATTTTTGACATGACGTGTTAGACAATACAATCTCAACATTGAACTGATCTGAAAATAATTGAACAAATTAACACAAGTAAACAAAATGAAATGGGTTAATGTTATATTCAAATAACCTAATTTTAAAACGATAAATTAGTTTAACTAGTACCGTGAGAAGAAAATGTCTGATTTTATTATCTCTTAAGCTTGTATTACATAATTTATTTTTTAGAATTTAAATACCTTTTGAGTGGATTTTACTAGAATGTTGATCTAACCTATTTTTAACCTAAAAAGAATTTATATGTAATGAATTAGGTTGAGAAAGAAAAGTAATAGTCCTTCGATACTCAATAAATTACTTGAACGTGACACAAATACTTTATGCACATGGTACACAGTAGTTTTGTAACTTATTTACCAACATATAATAATTTAAAAGTTATTTACTAAAATATCGATATTTTTTTGAAAATTTGTTTTTAAAATACTATTTCTCAGTGTAAAAGTATTTATTCAATAATGATAGTTTTTAGAATAAATTTAAAAGTATAATCTATCATATATATTAAATAAAACAAATTATTGGAGAGGTGGCTTGAGAAACATTCCCTCTCTCTTTTCTAAATTTATAAAATTTTGATGTATTTATTAATCAATGTTCAATCAAAACTCAGCATCTAATTATTGCAAAACTACTTACATACTTCAAGATACCCACACTAAGCCACATATACCTTCCAATTACATGGTAATTATCTCATTTAAGTTATTTTGGATCTACTCATATATCTATTCAGATACTCACTTTAACTCAATCTATATTTCTTAATACTTTGATTTATTTTAAAAAAATAAAACACCTCTTGCAATCAAAATCTATTATGTATCCTTTAGAATTTGTCCTTATCTCCATTAATTATTTAATTGATAAAGGGAAAGAGAGAAAATATGAAGAAAAAAAATAAAAATAGAGATGAGACTACCAGTATTATGACACAGCGGAACAAAGAATACCAAAAATATTACGATTCTTTTATATATTGAACCAAAAATAACATTCTAAATCCATAGAGAAAGTAGAGAAAATCTGAAATATAATATTATTCTATTGATTAACTCCTAGAATCGTAGTAGCTATGATAATTTATTAAAAAAAAACTCAAAATCCTAAGATTTTTAAAACGGACCTAAATCCCAATCTTTAAGAAAGTTACTTAAAACAATAAAACACATAATGAATTAGAAAAATTGACATGGTTTAGGTAGCAAATCAATCTAAAATATTTTTAATTAACTCTTATTCTAAAAAAATAATAAATATAAAAAAAAATAAAATAATTTCTAATTTTCATTCTACATAATATTATCATAAAAATTAATGTCAAATGATGTAGAAGGAGAATTGATTCTTTTAGAAACTATCCTAAAATAAGACAGTACGAGGATGTCATATTAAGAAAACAAGGTTGTACAAGGGAATATAGGATGATCCTAAAGAGAAGATAAAGATACTATCAATTCTAGTGGAGTGTTTATTAAGTACGACATTAAAAGTTGAATAATAAGTATCAAATTCAATATAATATTTAGTTATGTAATTTATTTAATGGTATTAAAATGAGTGGACTAAAATGCCCTTAATCATCTCCAATCTGATCCCTTATAGTGATCAAATATTTTGTAGGATTGTATCAATAGAACCAAAAGTAATGTAAATGTTACTTATTATGAATATTTCTAAATAATATTTAAATTGAAAAAGCATTCTTTAATTGTGTAAAAATGTATTTTGAATGTATGCATTTATTTATTATTATCCGTGTGAACGACAAATGAGATAATCCCTTAGACTCTCATCTCGATCTTGTTTTATGCTGAGTAGATGGGTGACAAGTTTCTGGTGGCGACATCCACCAATGAAATGCGCCACAAAAGATTTGTTTAATTCGGTGAAGGAGCCTATATGTGGAGGCTAGGGTGAACTTGGCGAACTACTGTCGTGCAGATCCCCTCAGAATAATTGGGAAGGCTCTACAAATGATTTTGTTAGGAACATTGTGCAGCTACATTAAAGACTTATAGGTGTTGAGGTGATCCAGTGAATTTTTCATGCCATCAAATACTTCCACCGATGACATTTTGAATTTCTGAGGAATTGGGTAATTTGTCACTTCAACTACGAATGATGTGTTAGTGTGCTTTACGAGGTACTCGACAATTTTTGGTCCTTGCGTCTTAATGGCGTTGAAGACGTCATCCAATTGATTCTATACTTTCTTGATTTTCTTGTCTCAGTGATTGGGGACTCCTTTGGATGGGTCATGAAAATGGCTCTCATGGTCCACACTTTGATTTTCTCTCTCATCTTCTTGGAAAATAAGGGCCTCTAGCATGGAAAGTGGGAGCTAGAGGAAAAGGAGTAACTACTTCGTTGTGTTGAGGAGGGGCTCCCCTAAAGGGGGCACCCAATAGGGGATTTCCTTGGCACCCTAAGCGAGGAATTCCCCTGACTTGATGCTCTCTTGACTTTACACCTCCTTGTCCAATAAGCAACAATTGCAGGGATCTGTTGATTTTGGGTTACTAGTTGCTGTATCGTTTCCAACATCTGCTGTGGGCAGATGTGTCAAACGTGTTAAGTTAAATGACTAAGTGTCGGGTTAAACAGGTGACCGGTGAAAAAATATAAACCGTACACGACACGTTTAATAAATGAATGAAAATGTCAACATGAACACGACTTGTTTAACTCATTTAATTTTTTTTTTAAATTATATTAAAAAAATTTAATACACCACTTTTTTTTATTGTCAATTGTATTTACCTTAAAAAAGATAAATTTTTAGCCAAATTTCACATAACAATTAGACTTGAAGGCTAAAAAAAAGGCAAGAAACCACTGCATTTTATAGGCAAAGTAGCCCTCTCCATCTCCCCTTATTTGCCGATGTGGGACAAAAACAAAAAGGGTTGATTTGCCTTTGTCATGAATTGTTCCCCAAGTGGTTGGTTTGCCTTTGTCATGAACTGTACTCAATCTCCTCTCCTTTGTCTTTGAACTACTATTTTACTTTTTTTTGACTAATTTTTTAAAATATTTATTAATTTATTATTATATTAATTTTATTAAAACAGATAAACGTGTAATAAATGATTTGATAAGTGTCACCCAAATCCACCCGTTTATTAAACGTGTCTGACGGGTCAACTCGTTTACTACCCAAACCCGTTAAGATTTCACTCAAACCTGCTTAATTTGTGTCAAATTATGTCGGTTAATCGTGTCATATTGGATTTTGACAGCCCTAGCTGCAGGTTTGGAAGATGATTGGTTGGCAGATGGGGCAGCCTTTTCCTCGCACTGTAAATTATCCTCAGGCTGATTCATAGTTGTAGTGGTGATTGCCATAGATACAAGAGAGGATGGTTGAGTGAAATCTTTGTTGTTCCCATAAACGACGCTAAACTGATGATGCACAAATTAGTTTTGTATATCATTTGTCAAATAATTAATACATATAATAAAATAGAGAGAGAAAACTTAACACAAGCAACACACAATTTAAGTGATTTTGTCAAAGTGGCCTACTCCACTGCGAAGGACTAGGATGACCTGTGTGTTTTATTATTGTAGGAGTGTAAAGAGATTAGGTGAGAGCAATGAGAGCTCAAGTGAGATACAAGATATGAGAGATATAACAGTGATGCAATATGTGAACCCCTTGTGTGAGATGCCCCCCATGTATAGGTGGAGGCTTACATTTTCCTGTCGCCTTATAACAGATTGAGGCAGCTTATTAATAACTAAAAAACTAATTTGGTGGAGGTGGTGTCTTCACAACAAATAATGTTGTTATGGGGCTCTTCTCAAGACTAGGTCTTGGGATGATGTGGTTGACTTCCTTGCTCTTACTCTAAGATGGTGTGGATGAAAGTCTTGGGTTGGCGCTGCCTACTCCTTGATGACATGGCCCTTGGAGTCTTGATGAGCCTAATTAGGTGTGAATCTCTTTTGGGTTGAACCCATTGGATTTCTTCTATGGGGTCCTTTATTCAAGTTGGGACCATAACCTGAGTTGGGTCTTGGGCCAGGTCCTTCAAACTATAAAATTTTTCACATTATACCATAAAATATTAATTTTATTTTATATCACTCTAATAGATGACGACAAATTTGAAAATCTGTCAAAAGAGAAAGAAAAACTCCAAAAAACTTTCCGTCAAGTATCTAGTACTACTTTATTTTACCTCTTTTGTAACAAAATGGTTATTGAGAAGAAAAATAAGGTCGGCTAGAGAAAGCAAATTTGGAGCTTAGAAAGGACAAAATCATAAATAAGTATTTTTCTTTATTTTTTACATGCATATGTGCAATAGGAAGTTATAGACCACTCACACTTATATTTACTATAAAAAAAGTTAATAACTGTTATCTATTGAAGTGATATGAAATAAAATTGATACTTTAGAGTGTAATACGATTAATTTTATAATTGAGGATATAAACTGAAATAAAAGTAATAGTTTAAAGGAATAAAATGCAATTTACCCATAATTATGTATGACTAATGAATTCCTCCAAATTATATAGTAATAAAATGTTTTCTCCTCGACAAAAATAGGATGTGATGGTGTTAAATTGGGTTGGACAAACTCAATACCACAGCCCAGACCAAAAGCCCAAGGGCCCGTTTCAGATAACGTATTTTGTCTTCATAACTCACGGAAAGCAAAAATTAGGGTTTTGCGAGTGGTGCAGAAGGTTGGAACTTTTAAGAGCTTTGACATTCCCCTGCCTCCACTACCAATCTTTAGAGCTTCCTCTGAGTTCTTAATCATGGCTGAACAGGTCTCAAAATCAGATCTATACTCTCTCTATGCTCTTCAGACCTTTCTATTTGATGTTATATATTACTGGTTTATGTATATAAGTGTGTATGTGTGAGATTGTATGGATCTGATGATGGGTATTTTTGTTACAGACGGAGAAGGCATTTCTGAAGCAACCCAAAGTGTTTTTATGGTAATAATCGGAGAACGCATAAAGAATATATTTTTTTTTATTTTTGTGTTTTTGTTTTTTGAAATTGATTTCTGTGTTTTGGGGTTGTTTGTTTTAGCTCTAAGAAGTCTGGGAAGGGGAAGAGGCCTGGAAAGGGTGGGAACCGCTATTGGAAGAGCATTGGACTTGGGTTCAAGACTCCTAGAGAAGCCATTGAAGGTCTGTATTGTATATACTTGTTGATACACACCTTTGTACATGTAGGCGTATATGAGCCATTGGAGGAGTCCAGAAAAGCGAATTTGCTTAGAATTGTGGTGTGTGTGAATAGAGTTTTTTTATTTAATTTGAGCAACACGGTAAAAGATTATATGTTCTGACCAAAGTTGTTGAAGAGTATAATCATCAAAGAAGGGTTTGATCCTTATCATTTATGCTTGGTGTCTTTGAACAGAATAATTATTAAGCCATTTGAGCAACGTGATAAAACAGTGTACATTCTGAACAAATTCGTTGAAGAGTATAGTCATCAAAGAAGCGTTTGGTACTTATCGATTTTCTGGCCTATTGCCTGTTACTATCAGGGTGGAAGAACTACTATCCTCTCGTGATGCATGTTTTTGTGGGTTTTGCAAGCAGCACTAGTTTTTTTCCCAACGAGTTAATCTAACTTAAAGAAACCCAATGGGTAAAGTAATTGGCTGTTTAGAGTTAATGGGGAATTTTATAGAATTGTGATTAGCCTAGAACGGGTCCAGTATAGAATTGTTATGCATTTTTAACATATTCATTTGATTCTTATCAAGTTACTTGCCTCTTGCCCATTGCCTATCACTATTTGGGTGGTAGAACTACTATCCTCTCGCGGTGCATTGTTTTGAGGGTTTTGTAATTACAAGTGTTATTTTCTTCCAACAAGTTAATCTAACTTAATAGAAGCCATGTTAGGTAAAGTAATGAGCTGCTTATATTTCATTACGTAATTTATAGAATTGTGATAGCATAGAACAGGGTCCATTATAATTATATGCCGGATAATGTTCTTTTGTTTTTTGGTTGGGGTGGGGGAATAAGTCAAGTTAGATATGTACAAGTGGGGTGTCATGTATTCGCTTGCCATTGTGACACCTTTTGTATACAATCCTTTTGTCATAATGTGATGAATTGATGCAATGAAACACATTGAAATCTACTGAGCTAACTTCTGTAGGTGTAGCACATTTGAGAATTTCTTTTCAAATACATTTTGAGTAGTAGAATTTTGGAATCCCTCTTGGACTACGGCAAGACGAATTGAGAAAATTCAGTTTTCCTATCTGGGTTTGAACTTAAAGATCCTGATAGAGGAGTTTTACCCAATTCTATCAGTACAAGTGCTAGTACCAGTGTTTTTCTCTCCATAATCTCCACATCCTCTTGTCTCTTGATTTTCCCCTTCATTAAGGGTCAAATTCAAACATTACATGGTCTTTCACTTGGATATCAACAAGAAATTGTCTTTAGTTAGCCTGCTGAGGCTTCAGGGTTAAAAACCATTGGATTTTCCCAACCCTTTCGATGAAGAGGGTAAATCCATTATCATTTGGAAGCTCATTTGCTAGTCTTATCGAGTCTTCTGAATGTAGATAAAAATTGTAGCATTGCAGCTGTCTTCAGAAGCAGCAGCCAAAGCTGCATATCCTATGTCCTAAGTTTAAAGAGGATCTGGTTGACTAATTTACAAATTCTTATTATTACCTCATTGAAAGAATTTAAAGCAGCTTTGTATTCATGTAGTGAAGTTTTGCAGGGAGCAATATCTGATCTGAATTTAAGATAATTTTTGATTTGTAACAGGAACTTTTATTGATAAGAAATGCCCCTTCACTGGCAATGTGTCCATCAGGGGTCGTATCCTAGCTGGAACATGCCACAGTGCCAAAATGACGAGGACCATTATTGTCCGAAGGAACTATCTTCACTTCGTGAAAAAATATCAAAGGCATGATCCAGTCTAATTTATGATTTTCTTTTTCAAGTTTAATTTTGTAGTCAGAAGCTTATCATCTTTTTTACGTTTCCTCTGCTTTCAGATATGAGAAGAGGCACTCAAACATTCCTGCACACGTATCCCCTTGCTTCCGTGTCAAGGAAGGAGATCATGTCATTATTGGCCAGTGCAGGTTATATATTCAATCTAATGGCCTGCAGGGGTCATCTTTTCCGTTTGATTTCACCTGATTCTGTTTTTGCTTCAACTTTTCTGTTTTTTTGGGTCTTTTTCTGATGCTCTGTTACAGGCCTCTCTCAAAGACGGTGAGGTTCAATGTGTTGAAGGTGATACCTGCTGGATCTTCCGGTGGTGGCAAAAAGGCTTTTACAGGAATGTGAGGCATGTCTTCCACTTTTCATGATGAGGCTGAGTGTTATATGCATTATGGACTTATTAATTTTGTGAGAAAAACTTAATTTGAACATCATCAATATTAGCTGTTTGTTTAAACATTGGTTTTTCCCTGAATATGAAATTGAATGTTGGAGTTTCTGATGGTATTTGGTAGGCCATGGGTTTACAAAGGTGTTTGGAATCTATGCTATCGTTGATATGTTGAAATCTGTTGTTGCATCTGCTTGTTTCCCTGGAATTAATAATGTCTGTTTTTTTTTTCCCTTGACGGGCTAATAAATCAGCTTTAGGTATGTATTCCATTGAAATTTGTAATTCATTCAACAATCATCAAGGCACTTGTAATACATTCTTTCCAGGGCATACCATTGTACTCTATTGAGGCACTTAGGCATACCTTAACCCAACCAACATCACCGAATATCTGCCTTCTACCTTTGTTATATTCTCAACCCATTCATATAAACAGAAGCAAGATAGAAGAGTTCAATTATAATACTTGGAGTGAAATACAAAAGAATTTGGACCATCACTTCAATCATCCCTGTGAAAAGCAAAAGCCACCAAGCTCCTTTCGTTTGGGAAGTTACCTACTAGCATGATTTGACCCCTGACTCGCATCTAGCAAAAGTTCCATTTTTTCTTATATGAACTTTTTTGGTGTTGGTCTTTTGGAATTAAATATCTATAAGTATGATATTTTATTAAACTTTGTTTCTTCTGTATTGTAGTTTTTGGCTTATTTTTCAAACTACCATTTTTTCTATGAAAGAACCATGAACCAACAGGAGATTGAGATATAAGTCAGATTACTATGCTGATATAAATTAAGAATAAACAGAAGGGTAACTGCTGGGATTTTTTTTTCCCGGTGTGGGGGGTTTGGGGAATTCCCAAAATTCAAAGAGGAATGCAACATGCTAAAAGCAAACCAGACAAGCATCATAGCAGCGTTTATTATACTCATCATTGCATACATATCATATTCCTACCGAATGAAATAACACAGTACAGGCTTAGCCTGCCTTACAGTAGTAATATTTATAGCAAACTAATAGTTATGCATTAGCTTCAAGTTGCTCCATTTTCAGTGGTGGTGGTGATGATGGTCAGGAGGAGGTGGTTTGTATGGCTCAGGAGGGGCGGGTGCATGAGGAGGTGGTGGTGGTTCATGATGTGGAGGAGGTGGTGGTGGTTCATGATGTGGAGGAGGTGTTGGTTCATGATGATGAGTTGCTTCAGGTGGTGGATGTGGCGGCTCATGCGGAGGTGGGTGGTGCGGATCAGGTGGTGGTGGTGGTCGATTTTGCATCTTCTAGCTTCTTTGCTTCTTCCTGTTACGGTTGTGTCTGCTGCTGCTGCTGCTGCTGGTGTGGAGAAACCTCAGTTGAGAGCTTCTGAACTTATAACGTGGCCATGATGATCAAACCTACCAGTCAGACCAAATGCTTTTGGTGGGTCTCTCTACCTAAAAATTACAAGGTTATCTAAACCATACGTTCAGTTAGGATAAGCTCGTAAATTGATAGCTTCTTTTTGTGGATGGATGGATCGGACTCGACCTTGACCTTGACGTTGATGCGGCGATAATGAACACGGAAACTGTAGAAAAAATAAAAATGTATTTTGTAATAAATTGTAAATATAAGATGTAGAACACAAAATTTATCAATTTGTGAGGTTTAAACGGCATAATTTGACAAAAAAACAACTTAAATCATACCAAATCTATTTGTTTTTATCTTTGAATTGTTTTTGATCAAACATTACTTATGGTCAGATTATTTAATTTTTTTCCTCTATTATTAGTTTGTCACCACCTATTGCGATTTACTTGGTTCTAACATCATATCCAAATAGTTTAACGTCATATACATCTACCTGGCCAACTCCATATTAACGGACATAACAATTAGGTTGTACACCGAAACGAGTTACTTGGGCTCGAATCATTTTTTAGCTTGTTTAAATTTGTTCAATTACTTATACAAGCTGAATATGGACAAAATTTTCGGCTCATTTTAATATGAGCTAGAGCCCAAGTTATTTGGTTGGATCATATAAATTTGGTATTTTTGTTTATAGGGATTCAATTTATATACCTCTTCCGAGCCCAAGTTATTTGGTTGGATCATATAAATTTGGTATTTTTGTTTATAGGGATTCAATTTATATACCTCTTCCAAATGTGTGTCGTATATCAACAACAGTCACGACTAGGATTGATAATCGAGTTAAATTTTACGAGTTCGAACTTTGTCTATTAAAATCGTTTTTATAATAAACGAGTTTAAAAATTTGTTTAAATTATGCTTATTTTATAACTCGAGTCGATCTCGAGTAATTTTGACTATTTTATATATAAACGATTTAAATTTTTTGAGCTCGAACCGAGCCTTTAAACTAGTTTTTCTAAACGAGTTTAAAAAATTGTACAAACTCAGTTTGTTTTATAGAACTCGTTTTTCTAAACGAGTTAAAAAAAGTATTCAAACTCGATTCGTTTAGAAAACGAGTCAAGCTTGAATAACTTGACTATTTTATATATGAACGGGCTAGGTTTTACGAGTTCAAATTGAGCCTTTAGACTCATTTTTATAAACGAGTGGAACCCAAACTGAGTTAAGCCCAAGTAATTTGGTTCAATTATTAACCATATTTAAGACTCATTCACTCACGTGGGTTTGAACCTAAACTCATATTCAAACTCACATTAATAACAAATCAAGTCTAAACAAAATTTTAAGTTCGGCATCCGAGGTCGAGCCAAACTTAAACATACCTTAAAAATTACGAGCCAAACCAAAGCACGTCAAAGCTTGCCTAAGTTCTGCTTGTTTAATAGCCCTAACACCAACCCACGAGTGACAACTCCATTTTTTTTTTTTTGATAAAAATTATTAGACTTGCATTAATTTTTTTTTTTTGATAGGCAACAATATTTTTATACTATAGGGGGAGGAGGAGGGAAAGTGAAAGAAAAAGGGAAAGGGGAAGAAAAAGGGAAAGGGGACTCAAACCATCAAGTAGCCACTCTGTTACAACCATCCGGGTAGGACTTTAGTCCTGGACTTGCAATAAATTAGTCGTCGCTTCATATGATATTTAAAATTTAAATCATCTCCAATAATTTTTTTTATTCTTATTTAACTCTCTACTTTAGAAAGTCTAACACCTAAAAATTTCTCTTAATATACTCTCTATTTAGATTAATTGAAATGGCTAAAGCTCTGCAAACTTTTTGTAGATTGACAAACCTAATCTGAAGACTTCTTCCAGGTTCTAGATATGGTCAGCACCCTTCGTGAATATGCGCACCAGATCATAGAAACAAAAAAAATGATGATGTGTAATCGTATTAATCATAGAAACAAAAAAGTAGTGAGGTGTCAACCTCTTGTTAAATATGGGAGAACATATGAATTGGATGGGAAAGTCTCTTAGACATAACAACAAACGCTCTCTCTTTTAAATTAATTAAAGGTAACTCGTGTCTGAAGGTACAATATAATATGAATGATTTTAAAAAAGATGTTGATGGCCGTTAAATGAGTATTTTTGAAACCGTTGGATAAATTTATTAAATCTTACCCTATTTTATATTATAAATTCTAATAAAATGTAATGATTTTTTGTAGTCTCGCAATTTGGGCAATGTATGATCAATAAGTCTGGCCTACTTTTCATGCTTTTGTTTACGAGCCAAAGTGCGCAGATGAATATCTTGATTTTCTATTTTTCTTTGAATATTTTTTGAATATTTAATAGCTTATCCATCACCCAATAAATCTTAAAATATTAATTACCTTAAAAATGTGATTAATCTTCTCTCGTTTACCATAAGAATTGATCTTGAACGAGGTTTTAAGGTGAGCCCAAGTAAGTTTAGTTCATTTTACAAACCTATTCATCTTACAAGGAAAATGTCTTGCTCTAATTGTAAAGGTGAGATCACTAATCATCATGGATGGGGAGAGATTCTACTCACGGTAGCAATTAACTAAAAAAAAAAAAAATCTATCTCAAAATTCATCTCTAATTAGAAAAAAATTAAAAGTTTCTCAATTTTCCTTTTGATGGTCATGTTCTTTTCATATGAACAAATCTAGTCATATTTCCTAATTTTTTTTAAAAATTTAAAATAAAGTGAATTTATTGATGTAGATTGTCAATTAATATTATTATTCAAAAGTCCCACGGGATGTATTCTACTGTTTCTCGTCTATTTCATTTTTAATTTTTTTTTAATATTTAGGATTCACTCATCCAATACTTATCTAAGGGATAAGATGCATTTGAATTACATTTTTTAAATTTTATTTAGGTTGTGTAGCAATTTTTACTTGAAAAAATATTTTGATTGTGTACTTAAGACATTATTAACTATTACAAAGTCACTGTCATTTTAGGTGTTTCCCACTAAATCATGTCAAAACAAAATGTTTATTACCATGAAGGATTAATTATACTTTTTCCTACAATTATTAAACTTCTCGCATTGTCCCTTCAATTGTGTAAATTATTTTGACATTGTGCAAAACGTAAATGTCTCTCATTTTTTTGATATAATCTATTATCTATAATATAAAACAGAGCATATTTTAATAAGCTCATCCTACGATCTCAAATAGATTCATTCAATGACCACTGACATCTCTTTCAAAATCATGCACGTTAAACTTTTTCACTTAAATTTATTATTTCTCATTTACGTTGCATCGTGCCTTCAGACATAGATGTCATGACAAAATGAAACAAAATTACATAATTTGGGAATAAAATAAAATAATTTTTAGTTAAATTTTTAATGGATATTAATCATAGGGACAATGTCAAATTAATAACAATAATTAAAAATAAAATGTGAAAAATATAATAGTCGAGGAAATAACGCACCTCTTACATCACCAAACATATCATTCCTCTTCCTCTTCTCTCTCTCACTCTCACTCTCGACGTTAATCGTGTGGACAATAGAAAATTAATAAGTATAATGTGAAAAATATAATAGTTTACAAGATAAAATGAGAGATCTCAAACTTTGAGCGGAGCAAAGTGTAATTAACCCTATTTCATATCTTAAGTGAGTGACTGACTTCTCACCTTTGAGGCTTGAGCTGGCACACCTCCATCGTCACCAAACATTTCATTCCTCGTCTGTCTCTCGCTCTCTCTCTAAATATATTGATCTATATCTATATATACAGGTGTTCAGCTGTTCGTCTTCTTGTCTCTCTTGGGAAGAAAGCAAGGGGACCGATGGGTTCGAGCAGCAGCCGTGGTTCATGCCCACGCCCTCGTCCTCGGCCTCAAGGTACCATCAGACGCACCCTGTCCGCTCTATTGATCTGCGGTGCCTCTACCTCTCACACGCCCACCGAGGTACATCGCCTATTCATTTTCATCATCATCTACAATATGTATCTTACTTCAAACCTCACGATCGGCAATAAATTTAGCTTGGAACATGATTATAAAAGTACCCATTTCCCCCTTTTCACCATTTTTATCATGATCAGCGATAAATTCAACTTCACTCCCTGATTATATGCATACTTATTCCATGATTTTTTTTTTTAAATTTGGTAATCGGCCTCGAGTTCTGTATTCCTTGTTAGACCGACAATTTTAGTTGTGTTTTTAATCTCCAATATATGTTTTTTTGGGTGCTATGCGTTGGATGGATTGAAGTATAGGATTGGTTAGGTTTTGGGTTTATAGGATATGAATGTGTTTACCTGGTATTGTTGTTTAACTTTTTATTTGGGTGTATCTTGAATTCCATTACGTAGATGTTCATTGATATAACATGGTGAGATCCGAGTAGAATTGAAAATTTTGTTAGTGCATTTGAAGAATGGAAAGGTTTGACCTGTCCTGTAATATAGGTTCTTGATGGATGGATTATCCTTACTGGTAAAACGAGTTTATCATTGCTTAGTTTTATTTGAGTTTTCATCTTCATTTTTTATGGTAATCTATCTATATTAATATGACAATCATTTTCTCTACTTTTCTAAAGCTCTAGATTTTTGAATTATTAAATGCAGGTGTGGTTAGGTTAAAGCTTTTTCCTTTTTCCTTTTTCTAGCAAGGATAAGGCAAAGACTTGGTTTAATTCTCTACGAGTCGATAGGTAGATGGCGAGAGATGCAAAAAAATGCAATTTTTTCTAATTAAGACACAACACGTGTTGTAACTAGTGCTGTTAAACCTCATGTTAAACCGCCTATTTTTCACCACTCCCATTTTGAATTGACTCTTTCCTTATCTCTACCATAAATCCCCCCTTTAAACCCCACCTAAACCAACTATTTCTGAACATTCTCACTTTTAGTGTAACTTCTATTTTATCGCCAAGTATTCATCTATGTATATCAATGATTTTGGCAGAGATAGATATAGAAAAGAACGCCTTTTTTGAAATACTTTGTCACACGGGTGGGTGTTGCTAATGGGGATGATGGGTTTAGTAATGGGCTAGCTAGAGGTGATAGTGGACACAGATTTCGAATTCCGTGCATCGCACAGAGGCATCTATAGTTCTAAATTAAAATCCTTATATTTGTGCAATCTTTATGAGTTGTTTGTATGTCCACTGGAACTTATATGACCTAGGAAGTTCATGACATTTGAACTAGACATTAGTTATTAAGATGGAAGCATTGACATGATAGAATAATTAACAATTTTGAGAGTTTCATATTGTTTGACCGTTCTCTAAAATGATATATTCTACTATTTTGACATCTCGACAAGTGACATCATTTTTCTTAAATGGGTTAAAATGCCTTGAAAATTGTCAATGGCCTATTTAGACTTTATTGACTTAGAATCTAATTTTAATTGGAAGGGACATGGTCGGATATGTGTTACCTTGGTAGGAGGACTACAAAACATATATTGAAAAGTAACCTTAGGTTCCCAATCTACAAAGTCTAAATATTACCTTTCTTTTTAATCTTGGTTTTTTTTTTTGGTTGGGGGGGAGGGAGGGAGGGCTTCTTGGCTGGTTTGAGCTATGCTAGCTCCATCCTTGATTATGAATTGAAGTCCCATCTCAATATCTGAAGGGTTCTGCTATGTAGAAGGACAGCATAATGGAGGGACTAGGGAGGGAGACTATTTGCAGACATGGATGTTACTCTCGTTAGACAGCTTCTTTTTTGCCATTTTCTTATTACTATTGTCTTATTTAGTATTTTAGTTAAGTCGTCTTATTTTTGCTGCTTTCTAATAAGTGTGGTGGGTTGTGATTTACAGTCAGAAACTTGGTTTCTGTTCTCTATAATGGCAGATTTACCTCTTGAAGAAGTAAAGCAGTCATTGTGTTATGGCTGTAAACACTTGTTGTGAACCTAATTAGGTTCCTGAACTCCCATTTTCATCCAAGTGTGTCAGTTTGTGAAGGTATTAGTTTATTGGGGCGACGTGAGAAGCCCTAACTTAGCCTTGAGTTTTGGGACAAGAGAGAAATTTTAAGAACTATATTACCTTCTTAAAATATATTTTATCAATAATTGCCCTTGACGGGCTGTAATAGCTTGCCTCCCCCCCCCCTCCCCTCTCTCTCTCTCTTTCTCTTTCTCTTTCTCTCTCGCAATATTTTTTATACCAAATGGAAAACTGTTATGTCAGATTCTAAAGTTTGAAACCTGAATTGATATACTGGCATTTTTTACTCTAGATGGAAGATGATCCAACTGAATTACTGGTGAATTCTGCGGAACATGGCAATCTAATTGTTAACAAGTTCAAAAGCTCTACAAAAGAATCTGGGGCTGGATTTGGGTTTACCTGCCCTAAAATTGAGACTGGAACCTCATCTGACTGCAGTATGGAAGCCAGTGAGGATCCTTCTTTTCAAGGTGGCGCAGGCATTGTTGGGAAAAGTAACCAAGGGAAATATCTATCTGAGAGTAAGGAATTATTTCCTCCTCATCAATTAAGTGCTGATTATAATGGCAATACTGCTAGTACTTCGAATGAGCATAGACCATCCACAGAACCTGTTGTTGTAAATGGTAGAGCCAACATAGATGTTCTCAATGGCATTAATAATACAGTGAATGGGGATGTGCCTCAGATTTGTGTGGGGGTTCCTTGTCCCAGCAATCCATCTTCTCCTGGCTGGGATGATTCGGCTTCAGATGGAGCGTCAGTTGAAAATCATGTGAATGAAATGTTGGCCTACCCTAGTTCTGGTCCTGTTTCTGCTTCTATGGTCTCTAATTCACCAGTGACTTTTCACTCACCATTGCCAAGAGATGATACCCTTCAAGAGACAATACCTTCAGATCTAGGATTTCTTGTGTCAGAAAGGGACCGAGGCCTGAGCGATGACAGTGTACTTCATGTTGATGTGGTGAGTGTCTCTTCCAACATTTTATCTAGTAGTTCTGCTGAAATAAGTAATCGTGAAGCGAGACGGAATAGTAGAAGACTATTTTGGGATGCTTTTTCAAGACGCAGTTCTAGAAGACATAGAGATTCCAGAACATTTGTTTTCTCAACTGATGATTCTGATGATCTAGGATTTCATGACAGATGGCTTCTTGATTTTAGTGGTGATTTCTTTGATGATGGGGTTCGAGGTGATTCTGTGTACTTTGGAAGTAGAACTCATAGCATTAATGAACACCGATGGCACTCGAGATCTGAGGTAATCTTTTAGATACGTTTTTGTGACTAATGGTATATCTTTTCTGAAGATCCTGAGTGTGGAATTATTGTTTTGTTCTAGCTATAGGATCTCTCTCTCTCTCTACGCCCCCCACTCACTCACACATCCATCCACAGAGAGACATACCCACACATTGAGCATAGTTCATACTTTTGTTTTCGCAGAAGAGGAACTAGACATCGGATTCTGATCTACACCATATCTTTTTAGTTATCTTAGTGGCTTCATCATTTTGATGCATCAGGTCTCATGCCTGTGTGCTCTAGTAACAATCTGCGATCTTTTTGCTATTATCTAATTGTTTATCTAAAGATTGATGATTTTGTTTCAGCTTATTCTTGCCAAAATACCACTGCAGTGTGATATATAATTTCCGGTGTACTATTCAATTTTTTAAGAAAATATTGTTCCGGGGGGCAACTATATTTTTTTCTCTTTTACCATTTGGGTTTTTTAATCAAGTGCTAGCTGATCAACTTTTTTGCAGCTCTGGGAAAGACTTCATGGGGGCCTTGATGGAAGCAACCATCGAACTGCTATGTGTCCAACAGGAATTCATCCTGATGGCACATGCTTCTGTGAGTCAAATGCTACGGCTGATGAGTCTGGCACTCGTGCAAGTATTTCCCGAGTAGTCATGCTTGCCGAGGCATTATTTGAGGTAATCCCTTTGGTCAACTAGACTATTTTATTTGCCTGATTACCTTTTGCTATTTTTATTGGACAGTCTTGATGTTAAATTTATTTATAGTTATACAGTGTCAAGTTTTTTTTATGATGCCTTCTGTTTTCTTTTTGTTCATCTCTGGATTTACTTTATGACGATGGCCAAATAAATTTCAAACGTGCTTGAATCTACTTGGGGGAAAGTTTTGAGTATAGAATTTGAGAGTGGGTCCACAAATGCTCTGTCTATTTTGGTTTTATATTTTGATTAGATTGAAAAGTTATAATCTACTTGCATTCAGTGNCCAAATAAATTTCAAACGTGCTTGAATCTACTTGGGGGAAAGTTTTGAGTATAGAATCTGAGAGTGGGTCCACAAATGCTCTGTCTATTTTGGTTTTATATTTTGATTAGATTGAAAAGTTATAATCTACTTGCATTCAGTGAATTGTATTTTGTTCTGCAGATTATTTATTGGGGGCATTTTTTGTTGCCCTTAAGCTGGCTTCTTGCGATACAAGTACTTATTTATGCCACAGTTCCTATTTCGTACCTATATTGCAAATTCGTGGTTGGCACTACTAACCTAGTAATGGGATGCTTAGATTTTAGTTATGTTGTTACAGTATATTTGGACCAAAGTTACCTGGATTGTGGGTTGCTTTGGTATGTGGTACAAGTACGAATACATGACATGACACTTTTTTAGGTATGCAATATGATGGGAATAAGCGTAGCTGTTATGGTATTTTGGATCGCAATTCGCTCTGGAACTCTTATGCAGATCATTTTCACTACTATACAACATCATATATTATAGAATATCTATAAACACTAAGTCAGTTATCATTTATCTTATACTTGTGCTTGATTTTCTATTATCTAAAATAATTTATAATTATAAATCTATATACATATATTTAATTAATATGTATTTTGTATTTGTTCAACATGTTTTAAAACAAATTGGTTCAGGTTTAGTATTACAATTTGGGATCGACCATTTGGTGATTTGACTCAGGAACCACCCTATTTGAGATCGATGTACTCCGATCGTGGGTTGTCATGAGTTTAGTGAATTGTGGTAACCATGATCTGGATGTAATGGGGGCGACAGCTTTTAGGCGCACAATAGCTCTGGGAATGTGGAATTTTACCGGCTACTAGATCATGTGCATGTGAAATGTTATAATTATTGAGGGCCCTGAGTCTTCTAATTGGGCAAGTATTTACAAATGGTTGTACTTTCTGAAACTTCATTTGTGGTAGATCCTTTTGATGAAGTCACATTTTTCATCCTGCTCATGTCGACTATGTAGTATAGTTCGCCTCCATTTGCTGCTCTTTTTTTAGAAATCACTCATTTATTAGTACCTGCATGATAAAGCATGAAGCTTATTTTAGTGAACGTGTTTACTTTGTTTCGGTGTATTTAATTCCAGGTCATGGATTTATTTGACTTAGGAGAAGTATATTACATTAATATTTGGAGGTTGATCATGAGTGTCACCCTATTATCTTGTCTTCTTGTAAAAGTTGGATGTTTTATGAACTTATATACGTGCATCTTTTTGGAGTAATGACATTTTCCCAGATTTTAAATAATTGATGCACTTTGGATGTTAAATATGTTAACGGATGCATTCCAACAATAAGTTGATTATGATCATTGAGAAAATCAATTTGTCTTGTGGCATGGAATGGTTAGTTTGGGCTTTGACTTTTCCCAACGATACATCTAGAGGTGGACATATACAGATGTTGTGGTGATTGTGTTACCTAAGTCCGGTGAACTGAGTAGCTGTTGGTTCTCAAATTATGGGACAATGCTAACCTGACAAAGTTCATGCGTTCAGTGTAGTATTTGAGTCTATGCATAAAGGACGATTCTCAAGCTTTCCAAATGATCTCTGTTTGTGCATAAAATGTTACATAATCTTTCACCTGTTCAAGTGGTTGTCTATCCCTAATCTGTGTTTGAATCATTGGAACCTTGAATTTGATAGTTCACCACTTCTGTTAAAAAGTCTCTCATTTTTGTTACTTGGCTAAATATGTCTCGGTGTTTGTTAGTGGGCGTACAACAAGTGGTTATTCCACTTAGCAATCAGTTACTAATAACTATATCCTAGATCAATGGTTTTGGCAATTGTGGTTCTAGAAAGTCAATAATTATATACATTCCACCAACTGACTGAATGTTGAAGGAAGAACATGTCACGATTCAAGAAGTGAGAGGCTATAGCAAAGTTGAAGCAGTTAGGTCCTGCTATGATACTTGACCAGTGCTCTGCTGTTGTGTAAGAAGGTTTTGATACGATAAACAAGATGCTTCATTGATAATGACCTCCACAGTGCTTTTAGTAAGAGTGGAAGAAGTAACCGACGTTCATAGAAAGGAGAAATGGTGTGAAGTAAAATGTGATTTACTGCTAAGCAGTTAGGAATGAATCATATGATGACCTTTTTATTTTTAGTTAGACAGGAATTGAAATTGATTGACCCGGTCAGGTTGAGATTTAAATATATTAGGTTGAATGGTCTTTGTTGATATTTAATAATATCATCTGGTGCTACTTCGTTGTTTTTTGTGCTTGGATATTGTCCATCTTCTATATTCCCTGTACTTTATTCTGGTTGAGATTTAAATATATTAGGTTGAATGGTCTTTGTTGATATTTAATAATATCATCTGGTGCTACTTGGTTGTTTTTTGTGCTCGGATATCGTCTTTCTTCTATATCCCATGTACTTTATTCTGATACCTCCCCCTATGCAATTGTGTTGTGCCTTATTTAAGTCATTGTTCTCCCCATGCTATACCATAATGTTCCTGATGTGTCCCTGTTTGAACATATTCTACATATACAAGGGGTGATATAAAGGTGTATATTCTTGTTATCCTTCTGGGCTGATGAAAAAAGGAAAAATAAACTAATGTTATTCTTTTGGATCAACTCATTCCTTTTACCTTTTATATTGGGGTGATTAATTCCAGCTGAATTTGCTGACTTGGAACTACTGTACATGGCCAGGTATTGGATGAAATTCATCGTCAACCAATGTCACTTTCCTTATCCATGGTCTCACTCCCTGCTTCAGAGTCAGTTGTTGACTCTTTTCCTGTTAAGAATCACAGAAAGGCTGAGACACCTGAGATGGCGGATGACGTAGCACAGTAAGTTTGTCCTTGCATTTACTTATGCTCCAGTTAGTCGGAGGAAGGCTTGGGTGGCAGCCAGATGTAGAGTCCCCTCTGAGACCGTTATTTGTTTTTACCCAACTGTGGACAGGAGGCGGCTGAAGAGATGACACTTTTGTTTTTCATTTCCTCCCTTTCTCCCTTCAAAACATTACCCCATGCTAATGTGTCAGCTCAAGCCACTCCTATTTTTTCTTCCTCTCATCAAGCAGAGCCTTAGAAATAAAAGTTGTGTATGTGTTGGGAAGTTTACCATTATGTTGATTATCAGATTCTGTGACCCTTAAATCATATTTACCCCCCCTCTCTCTTCCTCCCCCAAAAAAAAGTAAAAACAAAAAAGTAAAGAAAAAACACCATTCAGGCCAGCATGTTTATTGAGGTTTGGCTAACAAGTTTTTTTTGTAGTAACTTTTGGTATTACTACTATGGTTGCGATATGTAATATGTGAACAGATTAATTTGATGCTTCTTGTGGATTTCGTTGAAGGCAGTTCACATTAGCTTTCTTTCTTGATTGCTGTGAAACTATGTTGTCAGGTGTTACATTTGTCTTGCCGAGTATGAAGAAGGAGATAAGATAAGAGTTCTTCCCTGCCACCATGAGTATCACAAGTCGTGTGTTGATAAATGGCTCAAAGAGATACATGGGTATCATCATCACTACTTTGTTATTTTCATTCTCACCTTACCTTTTATGGTTTCATATATTCTTAGTTTGATTGACCCAGCATTATTCTTCTCTTAATAGGGTTTGCCCACTCTGCCGGGGAGATGTTCGCGAGGGTTTACCCGAGGATTCTGTATGGAACTCAGAAATCCCTCTTCTTTAATATGATTGTACACATACTGTATATAATGTGGCATTGCCCCTGAAATGTTGTACGTGGTGGCGTTTTCTTGATATGTTTCAATCACCCTTCCTTACATGCGACCTTTGTTTGGTGCAGTAGTAAGAGTGTAATCTGTTGTTTGGTGCAATGGTAAAATCTTTACTCCATTATTCATGGTGCAAATTTGAGTGGGTTATAATTTATCCCGTTACTTCTTTCTTTCCTTTCAAAGCTGAGGCTGAATGAATTCTGAGATGGCAGTTTCAATATTGGAAATGAGATTTTAATGGCCTATCCTTTAGTTACATCTGCTGACAGATGTGTCAGAAATAGTCAAATGCATTTCCATCCAATCATTAGTAGGACTGAATTTTAATGCTGATGAAGGACTAAGGTACGTTTGGTGATTTTTTAAAATTTATTTANCTGACAGATGTGTCAGAAATAGTCAAATGCATTTCCATCCAATCATTAGTAGGACTGTATTTTAATGCTGATGAAGGACTAAGGTACGTTTGGTGATTTTTTAAAATTTATTTATTTATTTTTATTTTTTAAAGTAGGAGTTGTTTCGGTATATTGGTGTTTGTTTTTCTGTGTTTGGACGTACTCCATTATCATGTAGAAACAGATGCATAGTTATATGTGTGTTGTCATGTCTAAATTAAAGGGTTCAGGGAGATCGGTACCTTCCTAAAAACTTAATAGAATAAAAAATATATTTTTTAAAATAATTGAGATAAAAATATATCTTTTAAATAAAAGTCATTTTATCCCTACTATAAATAGTGTATATTTAATTAACAATTTTTATATTTTTAATATCTAAATATTAGAATGTGAAACTTTCAAATTTTTTTTTGATATTTGTGTATCATTTGAATTTTGAGATTTCATACACACACACACACACATATGTATATATATAATTGTTACTTTTTAATTAAGTTTTTTATTGAGTATGTTACTGTTTGATGTTTATATATATATATACTTATTTATATTTATGTTTACACTGTCAATTAGGTATACACTATTTATGGTAGGGGTAATTATAGAATACACTTTAAAAAAAATTTAAAAATGTTTTAAAAAGTGTACTTATTGATAACTATTTAATAAAAAAGAGAACTTAAAGGAGGATAAGTTTGGAGGTAGTACTTAAAGCCAAATAAGTTCTGAAAAAGGTACTCATATCCCATTATCTCTAAATTCTAGGGGTGCAACTCGGGCGGGTTGGACGGGTTGAAAGGTCAACTCTAGCCCAATCCTATATATATAATCTTTAACCCTAATCCTACCTCAACCTAAGTACTGTCTGCCCGAGTTTAATTCGGACGGGTACGGATTGAATTCGGGTTATTTAATTCTAGCTGATTTTTGAGTTAAAAATTGGGTTGGGCTTGGGTTATTTAATTTGGGTCAATTTTTTGAAGTGTAAATTTGATTTTTTGAAGTGTAGATTTCATTTTTTTTAAGTGATCTGTGATGAAGGGCGTGACGCAGATGAAGAGAGAAGGAGGAGTGATGAGTGAGAGAGGGATTTGGAAGTGATGAAGGCGCAAAGGTGAAGACTTGAATTGAAATGAAAGTCTGAACTCTGAACAGTGAAGATAAATGCTATCTCTAGTTAAATATATGTGATACTCAATCATGCACTGCATGTATATGAACATAATTTTGTGGGTTCAATTGCAATTATGAGAAATTATTAAAAGGTTAATTAAATTAAATCTTTCATAACCATGATGTGTGTGAGCATGCATATGATATGTGGACTTCGTTAGTAATGTATTAGTAAGACCCATTCATAAAAATTTCATGTGTGAAAATACTAGTGAGTCGATTTCAAAATTACTTAAAAACTTAGGGGGAGCAAGTGTAATTATCCAATTAACTTTACACATGTTTGAATGTAAAGTTGGTTAGTCATTTAGGGGGGCTGAGTGGGCTGTGCTGTGTATGCCCCGTGTGTGTGTGTGTGAACTTTAAAGATTAAAGGTGTGTGTGTGTGTGTGTGTTATATATAAAACAGAGTGTGCGTGTGTCTGATTACGGAAGCCGAGAGTGAGGAGAGCAAGAGACGAAAGGAAAAATAAAATATATGTGTGGGTATATTTAGTAAGGTATGTGGAACTAAATTTAAGAATGTGTTGTAGTATATATGTATGGTGTATGTGTGGACTATTTTAACATATTTTAGATTAGTGACTATTTTAATTTAATTCTTGAACTGCCTCGGTTAATTTTAATGGTTTGCTTTAGTGTAATTTAAAAACATTTTTTCGTGAGTTTAAATTAAGTGAATTAAACATAATTAGTGAGTTGTTTTGTGTTAAAAAAAAATGGGCTCATTTATGTAAATTTCAATGAGCTCTTTTTTTTTAATTGCAAAACAATTTTTTTTTGGTTAGCTTAATTAGGTGAATTAACACGTTTTAGGGCCGTTACGAATGAATATTAAACTAAGTGTGAGAACAATGGGAAAATGTATATGGAGATGTTTGGAATGCTTTGAGTAGGTTAAGTCGAAATCAAAATTATGGGAGTAAAATGAATAGTTTAAAAGTTCAATTAGAGGCTGTTTTATATTGAATAAATGTGTATGTAAATTTTAGTGTAGCGGTTTAAAAAGAAAAGAGTGATAGAGGTTGGAAAAGGGTGTCGGTAACGCCGAAATCCTGATTTCTAAATGTTATTATCACATGTGCGAATTTTAATCTAAATGACCTGAAATTTTACAGACAGTATTTTTAAATAATGCTTGATATGATAATGTAAATTTTGAAGACAAATGAATATGATATCCAGTACGAAATATATGGAATGCTGAAAGTGCAGTTTTTAGAATTCGGGGGTCAAAATGTGTAAAAATGGGTATCGGGTCAATGTGTTTGACCTGCTTAATCATAATTGTGATTAATTTGAGTGATTTTAAAAATTTGGGGAGAAAATGTGATTCCTAACCTTAAAGTGCTAATGTGTGAGTGGATAGTGCGGTAACTAGAGTTATCGGGAAGCACTTTGGGGTGCATAATTTTGTATGCGTTAGTGCATTATTAATTATTAAATGTGATAAACATATCGATATTAGAATTGCAATTGTTTTAGGTGGAATGGGTGAGACAGTCGGTGTTAGAACATATACGATAACACCGAAATGATCCACCAATAAGGCTGAAGGGTTGTAGATTTGTACATCTAAGGTAGTTGTATATCTTTATATGTTTTAAAAATGCTATTATAAGATGATATTAAATGATAGAATTTAATAGCAATTCTCTAGAAATATGTGCTATGTGGTTATATGATTGACTGATGCTTTGTACTGTGTATTGTGGAATGTGACGCACTGTTTAAGACAGGGGCGTCGATGCCTAATCACTAGGCGTACAGTAGCGTGCTAGCACTGTGGTGTTCCCAGGAGGTTCGGGAGACACCGATCCATGTGGGATCGATTACCCGATCAGGGGTGGTATAGATGTGATATGACTTGTGAATTCTTTAGAATTGGATTGTTGTTATTGTTTGATACGTGTAACTACGTAGTATTTACCTACTTCAGTGTTTTACTATTATTTTTATTTCATATACAACATGTATACTCACTGAGCCCGTGGTTTAGCTTACACCTCTACAGCTTCTTCTTTTCAAGTACTATAAATGAGGATGCAGACTGGTCCACTGTCTAGTTGATTGAGTCATGTGCAACGTTAATGTGATATCACTTAGGTTGAGTGTTAGTATGATTAATTGCTGGGTTGTGTATTATATTATATTTATGAGAGATTATTATAACAGATTAATAGTATATATTTGTAAATAGACTCAACAAACATACTTTGTGATGTATGCTATGTGGGTGTGAAATTTTTTATGTTTATAACTTGAGAAACAAACAATTAGTACAAATGTTTTATATATGAAACAGGTTATGAGACAAGTTTTACTATCATACTTAATGACTAAGGTGATGGGTGATGTTGTTGTACCTATGAGATTATTTAATGCTTGATCAATCTAAATTATAATAATTATAAACAAGTGTATTAAAAACTTAATTGCATTTTATTCTTGGGAGATCGGGATGGGGCGTGACATATCTATACTCCTTTAAAATATGAGAATACATGAAAAATATTTTCTTTTCACTTTTGTCCTCTAAAAACACAATAATGTCGTCCATATCCGTCATCTTTAATAGCAGACTAACATGAATCACCACTTTCTCTTTATGCCCTTTACTCTTGTACTGACCCATCTCTCTCTCTCTCTCCCTCTATCTCTCTATTCTCAGTCGTTACTCTCCCTCTCGCTCTTGCGTTTTCACATACGGATGTCAGTGGACTGAAGCGGGGGCGGGGGAGTGTAGTCTTCATCCCCGTACCCACTTAAAAAAACTTTGTCCATCTCTGGTCCACCCCCGTTAACGGATATAATTTTCATCTTCATTTCCGTCCACGGATAAATTTTTAATCCCCGTCTCTGTCCCCGCTTCCCCATACCCGCTTAAGCTCAAGCCCAAGTAGCATAATCCAAAATTTTAAATAAATCTAATATTTTAAATAATTCAACAACATTCTAAATAATCTAGTGAATAATCTAGATTACATAATGTAAAAGTCAAAACAATATAGTATTCTGTTTAAAGTGTTATTGGACCACAAAAAGAGAAACGAAACTATTAGAGAGAAATGAAGAAAAAAAATAAAATTGAATTAAGAAAACGATAGCACTACACTTGAAATTTCATAAAAAATAATTACAATTCATATTACAGCTATAAAATGTTAAAAGATAAAAACTTAAAATTTCGCTAATTCAATAATTCTCTCAATTTCTTAGTTAACTCTAGCAGATAAACATATCAGCCCTCATTCACAATATTTCTATCCACAATGAAATACAAAACTATCTTACTTTCTCTTATCTGTTTTTAGAGCATGGTCAATCTAAACTACTAACAGTTTCAATCAGTGAACACAAATAGAAAAAAGAAT